TATATTTTAAAAGTTAAAAATCACTCCATTGTTAAGTTTTATAGCACTCCTAGTGCCCATTAAGTTGATTTGTTCAATGGAGGTCAGAGTAAAGCAACTTGGCTACATTAAGATCGGAAACCAACCCATTTGTGACAAATTTAGTCCTTTCGTGTGAATCTTCTCAACGTTTCTGCACTGATTGGATTCAGGTGTAGCTTATGTCAGTAGCATTTAACCTCAAAAGAATGAGCAATCTGATTGCGTTGTTGTAAATTATGAAGCATTTTGCTTTTGCTTGTTCAAATGTAACTGTTGACTCTGTTGCCCCTGCCTGACTGCGCCGTTGCATATGCCTAACTACGAGTGGTATGGGTTTGAAGACATCTCAGAAAATTGGGGTACATGCCCTCATCCCTTTCCCTCCTTTATGTGCCCTTCCTAAACGCCTTTATTCCCCATTATCCTTTGAGTCATCTCCCACATGTTACGATCTGCACACCTGCAGTTATAAAATTATTTTGGGGTGTCATTATATCATGTTGTTCACCAACTTTCCAGCATTTATGAATACAATAATGAGTCACTGTAAATCAAAATAATTTACAAGTTACAGAGCATCTGCTCCTGCAAATAAGAATGGAATGATGAATTTCTTTGGTGTCCTCTCATTTGACATGGGTCCTTAAAACAAAACTGGTAACATATTTCTCTGTATTTGTAAAATTTAGCTAGCAGTCCAGAATGGAATTAAAATGTAAGTTCAACTTTCTGGAAATTTTGTGTTTTAAAACATGTTATAAATATAAACCAATGAAGAAACAAGCAAAGTCTGTTTCCTCATTAGTAGTTGCGATTGGCTTGGCAGTCATCTTGCCTCTGAATGAGACAGTTGTCATGTTAAGTGTTGGCGCTGAGGCAAGGGCAGCGTGCCGTAGCCCAGAGTGGAAATGCCCGCTTTCAGCTGGAACTCAGTGTGGAGGCTCTTTCTGCTCTGTTGATCTTTCTGGAGGGAAGTTATAAGCTTCTTTGGCCTGGGTCACACTAAGGAAGTGGAATGGCAACCAAGAATTATTATGCTAAATATGATGTAGTGATAGAAAAAAGATGATTGGAAGTGAGGCTAAAATTATAATTTAGTTTGTTGCCAAGTGTGATTGGTCACTTTAACAGAATAAGAAAATACCATTAATAACTGATTTGGAACCTTGTAAAATATTTCTTAGTGAATTTTGACGTCTTCTTTGTGTACTAGGATGAGTTGAGTTCTGTGGGTGACTTGGGTGCCCTGGTTGTGACTCTGGCTTGCTGTGCAAGTTCCCCTTGGACATCCATGGAGAGGAAGAGTGAGAATGAGATGGCTGTGCCCAGCCCCGGCCTCTCGCACAAACTTCTGGATTGCTTTCCCTCTGCTCCCTCATTCCTTAACAGCTGTCCGTGGTTGATCTTTCTGTCCTCCCCAGCCGGCACTGGATGCTCCTTGAGGGACAGGAACTATGACCAGGGCCAGAGCCCAGGACGGTGCTCGGTACAGAGCAGCAGATTGGTGACTGTGTATATCACATGCTTTCAGGAGCAGACTGTTGGGAAGATTCTGGGATTTCCAAACATGTTTAAGGTTTCAGATCCTGTGTGGAAAGCGGAAATGAAACTGATAACTCGTTTTGCTGACCCTGATCCTTTTTCTCTTCAGTCATCCATTGCAGTATGATTTTGTTTCTAAACGTATCAGTTGATGTTCTGAAGGGGACAGGATTCATGAAGTTGATGGTGATAAGGCTGCCTTGCCATAGAGCTACCTTTAAGATCCCCAAATTTAGCCTAAAAGGGCCCAGGAGCTGCATTTGTCCAATGGCCAAAGACAGAACCTGAGAAGGTTAATTTTGATACTAGAAGACCTGTTTATTTTCAGGGAGAAGCATTATTTCTCTCTTCAACTTAGAGATGAATTAAATCCTAAAATGATCACTGAAGTACACAGTGCCAGCTTTTGTCACTCCTTAATGCCCTGTTACCTTAGGTGTAGGAAAAATGGCTATAATTTAAAACCAAATGAGCCAATTCTATAGCACTACATAGGTATAAAGTACTTTTGCGGGCATTAACTTAAAAGACAATGTTTAGCTTGGTTCTTTCTTAATTCACATTCCATGTTGAGAAGTGAAAACCGTGGTATTAACTTTATTTTTATTTAGAGTTTTGTTTTAAGCTTTGTAAAATAGTGTTGTGTATTTGTGTTTTCAGATTTCAGATTATATCAGTAAAGCATTTATTTCTTCTAATGAAATCCTTATTTAGCAAAATTTGGCTATTATAATAATACAGTTCGTATTGGATAAACACATATGTCCATTTTACATGAAAATATTTTTTTATTCGTTCTGTCCACAGATATGTTTTTAAAAAATGCACGCAACTTTTCCTTTGCTAACTTAAAGATGAATTTTATTTGAGAAATCAGTTACTTTGGCGTTCTGAGACCAGGTTGTAAATCTAATATTGCAGTGTTTTAGGACTATAATTAAGAATAGGTTCTGCTGGTAAATGTTGGGAAGAGGCAAAGAAGAAAGTTACAATACATTGCCTATTTACCAATTAACCATTACCTGCCAAAAGCACATCAGACTCACACAGCGGACATCCGCTAATCCAGCGGTTAGCTGTTCCGGGCTCTAATGCACACTGTTTTACACGTTAACGGTTTTGAAGTTCCAGGCCAAAGCTGACCTTTCACATGTGCTCCGTTCACAGTAGGAATCTCCACTCACTGCTTCCTGTCAGAATGGATTATGGTGACACAGCCCAGGGCCCACTTTGGCTGCAATTAAGTTTTTGATCAGAATTATTTCGTTCACAAACAATCACATTTGTTAAAATGTTACATCTGCCCTGAGAACCACTGGCAGACTCTCAGTTTATCAGTGTGGTGCGAGTGTAATTCTTCATTTGTTTTTCATAAAATGGCAAACCATCTTATATATGTTATTTAATGTTTTTTCTTTTGTTGGTTTCTGCCTTTCATTTCATTGGGTTTGGAAGGAAACTGTGTCTTGAAATTAGTTTGAAGCTGCTTGAAGACTGGGAATTCGAAGGGAATTGCTTTTGGTGCAGAATAAAATTATCCAGTTGGGAGCCAAGACTCAAGTATTATTTCCAAAAATTGTTAGTGGTGGTTCTGTTTCTCACACGAGGAAACGTTTTAGCCTTGTGAGTGTGGGGTTTGAAGCTCTGCTTCTTGGTCTGCAGCGCCTGTAGCCTCCATGCCTACAATGTCGCTGCCTTTGGGTAATTATCATAAGGCATGTCTCCAGATCCGCCACTGTTGCCGTCAACTTTGATGCCAGAAGTGAAACCAGTCCTGCTTCAGTAGACTTGCCTGTCATGCTTCTTTGCCTTCCTTTTAGAAGTCATTTTCTCACTAAGGAATCGCAGCAGAGAGACACCGAAGGAACCTTTTTTCTGAATGACCATTTTTTGTCTATAAAGTGATTTGGGCAATGGTGAAACTTTTGAGTTTTATAGCTGATGTTCACTATTTGCCGAGGGTGTCCTCTCACCGCTTTGTGACCTTCCTATTCTGGAGAAGAGTCTGTGTGCTTGGGAGCTTTATGTGTTGGGTGGGGTACTTTGGGAGCACAGGATTAGAGTTTGACTTAGAATGGAAATTAACCTTTGACTTAATTGTGTGTGAGAGTGGAGGCTGGGAAGCTGGTGCTGAGGGAATGGAGTTAGGAGGCTGTGAAGTTAGGAATGCTTGAATGCTGTCTGAGAGGTTTCGAAATTTTAATTACTTTTCAAAAATATATATTTAGAATACTGTTAAAGGAATTTTTACCAGGTTTTAAAATATTGCATTAAAACTCAAACCATTTCCCCTTTGTTTTGACGTAACTAAACTCATTTATTACTAACTCATAAAGTTACAAGGGGCAAAAGAAAGGTGTTGTACCCAAAAACCTTTTTAGCTATAATTTTTTAAGCTTTTTAATAAAGCAGGGCCTAGCTGCACATTTAAAATCCAAAGACTTTACTTAAATGGGATAATGTAAGTACTGGCTATATTAATATTACCTTCCTATTGTCAGATTTGTGAGCAGGCGTAAATCTGTTTTCTTAAATCTATTATAATTGTGTTTTTTACTCTTTTAAAAATCATATTTGGAATATACCTGACTATATTTAGTATTTAAAGGAAATACATTTAAAGAAAATACTGAATAGTATTACATTTTAAAAGAAAACCCCAAGTAACCTTCCAAAAACAGGCATTCCTAAGTTTCTTTTACCTGTCATCATTCAATACCGTCCTGTCTTCTTAAAAAGTGGCACACAGGCAGAAGGTGGCCAGGCGGAATTTGTATCTTATTACAAGCTCATGTTAATGTAGTCATTTTTTATTTTCAGGTTTTGATGTTTTGTTGATTTTTTTTGAGATTCTCAAGTTTTTAGAAGTTGGTATTTATAACTTTTTAAGTTCATGTAATGCATATGGGGCATCTGCTGGGCCATTGGAGGAATCTTCACTTTCAGAGGGTGTTTTTAGGGAAATCTGAGGCAGTCAGGAGAAAGAATGGTGCATAGTGCCCCGTCTGTGCAAAAAACCAGAGGCTCCTAAAATCCTGTGTAGCATCTACCATGTACAGATAACCTCCAGGCTTAAAACTTTAAATGCATTTAAGGAAGGGACAGCCTTCTGCCTGCAGTAAACAGCAGCTTCACATGAAACAGCCAAGAAGGCTCAAAAATGCTCTTTCTGGAAAGACTGAGACAGACATCTGTGCCTTGGGGTCTGCCTCACAGTATATGAAACTGAAAGATAGATTGGACACTTAACTACCTTAAAGTTTTACTGGAGCTTGTAAAAACACTTCTGAGGTCCCAAATAGGTTCTTTATGCCAGACAGAGCACTCTAGATTCTTTCCCAACTACCATGAATAACTGGCCCTCTCTTCCTTAACAATATGATTGGTGACTTAAGGAGACCCCCACTCTGTAATATGAATTTTTTTTTTTTAATCAGTCTCTGTAGAGACTGTCAAAAATTGCCAATGCCGAGTATATTTCAAGTTGTCATGGCGGGATATTGGGAAAAGTTTTCAGTTAGCAATAATAGCATCTCAGATAAACCTCATTGGCTACAATACTGCCACTGTACAAAGCTGAAAAAATTTGTTTTAATCACCTGGAACATGGCATGTTTCTCCTTATGTTGGCCATCAGGTCACACAGTGGGAAGAACTCCACCTATCATGGGTCCACCTGCTTCTTCCCATTATGGGGAAGCTGAGGCTGAGAGGGAGAAGTAACCCTGCCAGGTGAGAGAGCTAGACGTGGACTCAGGCATACCTTCCCTTCGCTGTCTGTGGACTCCGACGCCACAGGACTGTTTGAGTAATTTTCCATCACATTCTGCATGGCCCAGAAAGATTTAAAGTTAAAGCAGAGCACCACTCTTGTAAATAAAATGAATTCAAACTCTAACAATTGTAAGGCATGATTTTCCGAGCCTCCGGGATTTAGTAACTGCTGCCATCCCTGCCAGCGCCAACTCTGTTGGTCTCATGAGGCCTGGTTCTCTGGGTTGTACGTTTCTTTTAGAACCACTCCAGTTTATTTCTGACCTTGTGCCCATACCCCATAGTCATGGTGCAGCGTATTTTTTTGTTTTTTAATAACCCTGGATGTGCAGCTGGTCATATTTCCTAAGGTTTCAATGAAGAATGTATCTCAGAACACCAGGGTAGGAATGGCTCCCAAGTTTGCATTGGGTGCTTGAGGTAAGATTAGGCAGACCCAGAGGGTAGTGGAGAATTTGACCTCATTATGAAACTCTTTAAATGCCATAATTTTGAAAACATAAGATAGGAGTTATTTCAGAGCGACACTCTGCTCTCTAGGCACTAAAGACAGAAATGTGTAAAGCTCTTTTGCATCCTGACTTCCCAGCCTCCTCACAAGCCCTTGGTGAGTGGCCCTCTTCTGGACAAGTGCAGGGGCTGAGTGTGGAGGTTGAGTAGCATGTCCACAAAGACATGTGTGATGGGAAGAAGTATTTTGAGCATAAGAACTTGGTTCCTGGCTGGACATGGTGGCTCATGCCTGTAACCCCAGCACTTTAGGAGGCAAAGGTGAGTGGACCACGAGGTCAGGAGATTTAGACCATCCTGGCCAACATGGTGAAACCCTTTCTTTACCAAATACAACAATTAGCTGGGCGTGGTGGCACATGCCTGTAATCCCGGCTACTCGGGAGGCTGAGGCAGGAGAATTGCTTCAACTAGGGAGTCAGAGATTGCAGTGAGCCGAGATCATGCATTGCAGTAGATCCAGCCTCGGCAATAGCTGTGTCTCAAAAAAACAAAAAAACAAAAACAAAAAAAAAACTTGGTTCCTGAGAAGTCTACTTTTAGAATCTTTTCACAGTACACGCTGCCTGCACCTTGGAGGGTCTGATGATGAGGTTCTTGCCATTTCAGGTTTGGTAGATAGATTATTTGTTCTGACAGGTTTAATTGTCATTGTTTTGGCACACTAGACTGAATACCTGAATTAATTGGTTGCTTTAATAGGTGCTCAACTAAATAGGACTTTATCATATTATTTAATGTTTCCACTGGGAGTTGAAGAAAGAAACTTTTAAAAACCTCATTTATTATAAAACCATCGGATCTTGTAAAAACAAAACAAAACAAAAAAACCCTCATTTATTCCATAAATCCCCAAGTATAGAATTGCCCTTTTAATTTTGCTCCGGAAACTCTGCAATGTATATTAGTAGAGTGTTTAAAGAATCTTTATATTCAGAAGGCCTGGCTTTAAAAGATATATTTGGCATACATGTCTCTCTTCTACATGAAACCATAAAGTGGTTTCTAAAAGAGACAGCTACTCGCTCTATGTGAGATTGTGAAGCTTCTAAAAATAGGTAAAGAAAACCATGGTGCCACATGGAGAATGAGCAGGATGTTTTAATGTTATACAGTGGTTCAGGATACACAATTAAATGAATATTATAACAATTTTGGAAAAAATGGCACAGGGAAAAAAACTATAATAATTTTTTCTTTTTCTGAAACCTGTTACACTTTATGTCTATAATTAAATTTAAAAAATAAAGATTATAGGAAACTTATTATTGCTAAAATTTACTTTTAAGTAAAAGAAAAAAAATGGAAAAAGTATAATCTGACATCAGGGACTTGACCTAAATATGCACACAAAGAGGCTGTGGAGCTGGACATCTGGGACTTGAATTTGCATCCCAGCCTCACTTTTTATGAGATGCAGGACTCTGGGCAAGTGATTGAACCTCTCAGAGCCTCAGTTGTCTCCTCTGTAAAATAGGAATGATAAACCTGTTCCCGGGGTTGAGTGAGTGCCTGGTCCAGAGCAGTTATTTTTCAAATGCTTATTATATTTTACCCTCCTCTTGTTGGTCCCTAGAACTGAACAATGAGAATCAATAGTCAGAATAATGGCGCTGAGATACACTCACATCCATAGTCAGCAAGAATCAAGTTAGGTTCAGAAGGTGCTACTTGATCAGAAAAGAAGCTACTCAAGTGTTGCCATGTAAATGATGAAAATAAAAATTTATGATTAATAATGAAATAGAAAGTAATCAGAGATATCCTGTTCCTTGTGTATACTAGACGATAATATTGTTATTAAAAAATTGAACATTACTGCGTATGTAAGGGCACTGTGCTGTGTGATTGGTTCATGTCATCTCATCTTACCTAGCTGGGAAACGCAGCGCAGCCAAGTCAGATAGCTTGCTAAAGGTCTGGGTTGAGAGAGAGCCCAGATTTTGGATTCCTGGTCTGATGCTCTTTCCATCGTATTGCACTGTTTCTGATACAGTAAATATATTTTTAAAATGTCCTATTCCTTTGCAAATAAAATAAATAAATAAATGAACTATAATTTATCAGTTTCCTTACTGATACTTACTTACCCTCTCGGTTTTTATTACTGTCAGTTCTATAACAAGCATCCTGTGTCTCCTTGTGCATAAGTGTAAGAGTTTCCATACGGTATAAATCCAGAAATGGAATTGCTGGGATAACTTCTGGTACACAGATTAATAAAAATGAAAAGCCAGGATTGTGAGAAGGTCTGGGCTTGATGGCGTTCACATTACAGCCTAGGGACAGGCTCTTTGTCACCATGCATGAGGCCATAGTAACCCATGGCAACCTAAGCCTTTGTGACTTCAGAGCAGTGTCCAAAGCTGATTTTGAAGTGGTTTTGAAAACTGGGGATGGAAAATAAAAAAAACACAGCTCTTGCCCTGTGGGAGTTTGTGGCCTTGTGGGAAAGCTTAGCACTGCTGCCTCACTAAGTTTCAGCAGTTGAAAGAGCAGTATCTATTNAAAAAAAAAAAAAAAAAAAAAAAAGAAGAAACCAAAAAGAAAGAAAGCAAAAAAAACAACGAAAAAGAAAACTGGGGACGGTATACATAAGGTGTAAAGATCATGGAAACATGAATTAGCAAGTGGGGCCTCAGTCTAGGTTACGAGAGCTTTAGGACAAAAAATAATCACTTTTAAGGAAAAGTCACTGTTGATAACACTAACTCAGAATGCTGCCAGTACTGCAGATTTGTAATCTACTACCTTAAACTTTTACAAATGCTCATGGTGTCAAGTTCAGACCCAAGTTACTGAATGTCTGTTGCCTGGAAAGGATACTTTTATATTTTCCCTGTAATTTCCTGAATCAGAAGGCTCCAGTTGTGACAGAAATGTCACTACTTGCTGTCTCCGTTCCTGTACAGAGACCCACAAGAGACTGAAAAATGGTGTTGGTCCAGTTGTCATAGGTTCTGTGCCTTCTGGGACCAGTCCACCAGATGCAGTGTGGACTGCAGTGGAGCTGGGGCTGGGGAGCAAACGCCTGGTCCACTAGTCCTGTCTCATCCACTTGTGTTGTAGTAATCTCATCGCTTTCAGTGGTGGGATCCTATTTTACACTGGTCTTTACGGGCAAAGATAATTATATATATTTCCCTGGGTAAGCAAATTGATAAACTTGTAACAAAGTGTATCAGACCATTTCTTTGGCAGGACCTACCAGAACAGTTTGTGAAGCAAAGCCATTTCCAATGGAGCATGAAAAGCTTTGAAAATTCTCAGCAACAGCAGAAAGCAATATTTGAAACCACCCTTAAAAAATTGTTTTCCTCTTCCCCAACCAAGTTTATAAAAATTTGGTCAGACAGGCGTTTTGTTTTGATTTAAAATATTTTCAGTGAATTGTTATCTGCCGAATGCACATGTGTTCCTGCACTTTTTCTTTCACAATTGAAACTTTAAACCCTTCCCTTAAGTTCCCCTAAAAACCTCCCTGTGCCTAGTAAGGCTTTGCATATGTGAGGAGAGTGAAGGGATTAGGACCTTGGAGAAACCGTGCAATTTGAAATCTGACTATGCAGTTGTACACCAGAAATGCCATGGTGTGCTCTTTGTCTTTTTCTTCTACTGAGATTCCTCACTCCTAAGAGACATTGGTTAACATAGGCATTTCAGTTTGGTGAATCAGATCATGAGTGCCTGTGAGCATGGCATGAGGCATGATTGAAGCAGTTATAAAAATTTGGCTCATAGTAAGCCCTGTAATTTGTTTTAAAGAATTACCTCTTCAATGACATTTAAAAAACCCCCTAAAAACAACAACCAAAAGACTGTGGTTTATAACACCACACCTGGTCCAGATTGTACTGGCTGAATCCATATTTGCTTCGCTGTAAGTGATTTTGAGGGTGGAATTCTTGTATTGTTTTCTATCTTATAAACCCTTGACATTGTACTGGTACCTGTGGGCTCACAAACCTCCTGACATGGGAAAGACCGGCTCAGCCTCCCACTGAAATGTAGGTTGGCTGCATTTATTCTGCATGTTCCTAGAATGAGGAAATGATATGACAATAAACAGAAATGCCCTTGCTGAAGAGAGAAGGGAAGCTGGTGTTTATCTGGTCAGGTGGTTTAGATTAGCTGTGATGCAGCTCTGTATTATGTTACTTTAAATCATTGTGTCCCAACAGGACATAAATTATGAAGATTGTTACAGTATGTTTCATCCTATGTAAGATCAACAAATTGGAATAATTTTTTATAGGAAAATCACAGTGCTTTTGGCAAGGCTATTGAAGCCTTT